CATATTTGCTAAATAAAGGCGAAAAAACGCCATTTCGCAAAATTTCGTTTCGTTTCGTTTCGTTTGGCAAAATAGTACAATTTCGTTTCGTTTCGCCATAGTAAACTTGTTATTTCCGGGAAGTATTGATCCGTCAATAATTGTGGATTCAGTAACATGAAGAAAATACACTCAGTGACATATTCTTGTAGTACGAGATATAACCAAAGTAAAATATACCTCCATACCTCATTCCAATTCATTTTATCGAACATGCGAACTTCATTATTTTATGAATGGTGTGCCAGTAAACTTGGCATTTCCGGAAAAATAATGTTTATGGATAATAAGTTGTCGATCTCTAAATTGGCCACTTCTTGGATTTTAAAATATGAACAACATACCCTTCAATTCGATCGATTTTCCCGCAGTCTAGAAGGTGTTTCAGTTCCTTATTAAGGAAGAATTGTACCCGCCCGAACTGCCTTCCAGCGACTTCTCTCAAGGTGTAATCTTTCTTTGCGCTCTTTGATACCAGTGGCACGTCTACTAGTGACTCGGGTATTTCTTCTCCTTCTGGCAAAACGCATCGCAGTGCAAACGGACCAAACGGGTCTCTGTTCCCATTTTCAGGATAGACGTGGAAGGGAGTCCTTTCTGGCCCCTTGATTTTAAAATCATGATAACTATAGAAGAGAAAAAGAAAGGGCACGTGGTTACGCCGTCTCCCTCAGCTCGAGTCGAGCACAAACAACCGGAAGGCAACAAAATTGAGGCAGCTATAGATTTTGATTTAAGTAAGCCATTTTTATGTTCCCTTGATTTTTTCACCAGTAGTTCTTAAAGTTGGCTTGTACACACTTGGAATGCCTAAAAAAAGGTATATGCGTCCAACACGCTAACAACAAACCTACCCACTGTAGTAAATCTATGTGAAATATAGCTCGCTATTCTTGCAGTTGTATTTACATTGTTGTTGTTACATACATGACTATTTAAAAAAACTGTGACAATGACAGTAACATTGACAGTGCGGGTGATCAGGAGGCGACAAGGACAGTGATAGTGATACTAACAGTGACTATGACAGTAATGCTGACAGTGNCTCTGTTGCACTGCTGTACTCTGTTGCACTGCTGTACTCTGTTGCACTGCTGTACTCTGTTGCACTGCTGTACTCTGTTGCACTGCTGTACTCTGTTGCACTGCTGTACTCTGTTGCACTGCTGTACTCTGTTGCACTGCTGTACTCTGTTGCACTGCTGTACTCTGTTGCACTGCTGTACTCTGTTGCACTGCTGTACTCTGTTGCACTGCTGTACTCTGTTGCACTGCTGTACTCTGTTGCACTGCTGTACTCTGTTGCACTGCTGTACTCTGTTGCACTGCTGTACTCTGTTGCACTGCTGTACTCTGTTGCACTGCTGTACTCTGTTGCACTGCTGTACTCTGTTGCACTGCTGTACTCTGTTGCACTGCTGTACTCTGTTGCACTGCTGTACTCTGTTGCACTGCTGTACTCTGTTGCACTGCTGTACTCTGTTGTACTGCTGTACTCAGTTGTACTGCTGTACTCAGTTGGACTGCTGTACTCTGTTGCACTGCTGTACTCTGTTGCACTGCTGTACTCTGTTGCACTGCTGTACTCTGTTGCACTGCTGTACTCTGTTGTACTGCTGTACTCTGTTGTACTGCTGTACTCTGTTGTACCCGTTTTTGGTAGCTCTGGATCATGAATAAAGGAAAAAAATTCGATAGATTACAAGCGTAGACAAGAGCAATCGATTAGCCACTCAATTTTTTATTTGTTATTTATTAATTTATGTATTTGGTCTAATTTTGCTACAGAGCTTCTTTTAAGGAATAAGATATTAAAGGAACTTTATGTCTTCCTGAACACCCTTAAGTTACCGGGAAAGGTATAAAACATTTTAACTGCCGTTCTGAAAAAAATTGCACATTTTCTAGTCAAACTGTAATTGTGTCCCTCCTCCCAACCCTACTGTCAATTACATGTTACCTCGAATTCCTAAGTTATAGCAGGGATTAACTACATAATACGCCTTTCTGTGCTTGTTTTTTTTTTTTAATCTAATGATAGATGCCTGTAGAAAAGATCAACTGAGCGACAAAAAAATGTCATCTGCGGCCGTTTGCACTTTTTCTCTTCCTTAATTTACCATTATGTCAGCAGAATTTAACCAGATTTTAAGCGACGTCTCGCTCTTCACTACTGAACAAGTCATGATTTATTGATCGGTTTCCTCTGCTTACAATCTGCCTGTAGTTTTACCTTGTTGTTATCAATAGAATTTTTTCTCGCTTCTTTAATTTCAATAAACGTTTAATTTATTCTGTTATTCAATTATTTCACGACACTCATTGAAAAATGGTTCATGTAGGATAAATGTTTAGTATTAACTAGGAGCTCTACAATTGTCGTCAAATAGCCATACATGTAGCTTAAATTCGCCATGTTCTTCTGCAAATATTGTACAAAGCTAAGCCTCCGAATGAATCATTCTATAATAGTTTCCTTTGACGAGGTCCTACATTTATAGCTACATCTAGCATTCCAACGAAATCTACTGACATCTTGCTCAATAATTTAAAATGTTATTTACAACCTGCACTAGCTCGCATAAGCTTCCAGACTTTGTGGTTTCAAGTTTAAAAAGTACTGACATCAGGCAGAAAGCGTAATAGTAACATCAAATTTTACATAAAGCCGCGGTGAAAATTCTCACATTATTCTGTATATTGCGAGAGTGACGTTCTTGTGATTATTACGAATGAGATTTTTTTTATTTGATTGAATAATTTAACAGGACATCACCAGTGTGTGAGATCTACTCAAGTAATTAATGATGATGATCACAAGAGGGCCACGTAAATTTCATTAAGTACATATACCTATGAATCGCTCTATCAGCCTTCCTCTTTGATTTTTTCTTCTTGGTTTTCAGTCTTCGCCACAGTAACGTGTATTACAAACTGATGGGCTAGGAAGTTTGTAGATAAAGTAGGCTCCACAGTTTTTCACAGAAATCTCTATTGAGTGTTTGCAATCCGTAAATTTATCACTAAAGCAGACCTTCCTGGAACTTTCAACATCTTCCTCTGTACTGAGGATGAACACCATTTAACCAGCCTGACAAGTCTGTACTCGCATCGGAATGCTGGTACAACAGTCGTTGACATTTTTTTTCCTGCAGCTCCCACAAAACGATACCATCCCTCTGAAAGTTGATCGTCACACAACTCTTCACCTTGGGGTGTTACATAACTGCTCTTTCTTTTGGCATCATCCAGGTTTTTGTAATTATAGCAAGGATCGACTACAAAATGAAAGGACAATTCAAAAGGGATTGTAGTCATTAGAATCAATGGTCACCTATTAGTATAATTCCAACAGCTTACCAGCCGACAAAAATGCAGAATTTATATTTATCCTGCAAGAATATTAATTATTATGCCTTACGTAAAGGGTCAAGTACAGTAAAAACCCGCATATAAGAACACCCATTTTCGGGGTTCAGGCCCATTGGATTCTTATATATCGCGTATTTTAGGTGAAATCAGCCTGAAAGTGTTCTCAAGTGTTCTTAATTTTTTACTTCTAAAGAAATGTAAGGGATTTACTAACTATGATGAAATACATAATTTATATTTGTAATTACAAGACTTTTAATTCCAAAGACAGTTGTTGTACATTTACTATATACAGCAAGTTAAATTACTAGCATTTATACAGAGATCTTAGTGCAATACCACAGTAAAGCTACAGACACTGTTTGTTCTATTAAAGTGAAAAGGGAAGAGTTTTTATACATAAGAACAATTTTCAATTTTCAGGCTGAATGTGTTCTTATATATATGTTCCTTTTTTACCAAATTTCAGCCTGGGTGTTCTTAATCCACATGTTCTTGTATACGGGTTTTTACTGTAATGCTTGTGTGGGAGCTTTTCGAACAACGAGGCGAAAAAAGGTATATGAAGGGTATACGACTTGGGAAATATAAATTTTGAGCTTGGGTTCAAATATTGCAAAATGCAGCTTTCTTGTTGCCATTGTGACGATTGATGCTTGTTCTCTCCGCAAGGACTTATAAAAAGCAAACAAACACACAAACATACAAACAAAAAACGCCCAAAACGTGTGCTGTGTAAACATAGAATCCACTAAAACCTAGACTAAAAGGAGATGCCAGTGACTGGCAAATTACCATTGTCGCAATCGTTTTTTACATTTAAGAGTTCCTCTGACAATTTGCCTTCGATTATGGTTTTTCCGAGTCATCTCAGTAACTGAGTATGATATTTTAGATTACCTGTATATCTGCTGAGACATGGAGCGACCGATCTCGAGCGACCGATTGAAACTTCATGGAGAAATATAGCTTCGTGCCATCGTGGTAAGGTTAAACACTTACCAAATGGTCCAGAGGGTAACAAATACTTTTTTGCCAGAGAATCTCGATGTTTTCTCAATTCGGAGCCGAGAGAAACATTGCTATTCGAGGGAAAAAATTATATGATCTTGAGGGACCGGTTGTTGAGGGATTAGTTCAAAATGTTAAATAACAAAGACATCAGAGAACGTAATGTGAAAAAAATTTGATGTAAGCACGTAGTTTACAAAGTAAAAATTCTACAATAAAAAAATAAAGGTTGACAGTGGTAAGCTAAAACGGGCTGAAATGTACTAATTTCAGAAAAAATACTGAGTTACAGCGATCAGTGTATTCTTTCAGGTCAAAGGGAATGTATTTCCTCGTCACTGAGTTTAGTTTTAAATCTGTTCGGTGGAGAAACCGTGTAATGTTTCTGGACTAATCAAATAGCAAAGTCGGGCAAAACCAGTGTAGTCCCCAATTTCTTACGATAATCATTTGAAAATAGCTGTGTACAATATATGAACGATAAAGAGATAACATGATAGCTATAGGGTGCCCTTTGAAATACCCTCACATCCGTAGCTTTTTGTAGAGCTCCATTCTCAACGAGATCAGTGTCGTTACCATTCAGTGGGGAGAAGTCTTACGTAACGCGCCTCTGTGAGTGGGTAAAGCAGCTGGAATACGGTCTTGGAATACGGTCTTGGAATACGGTCTTGGAATACGGTCTTGTATTACGGTCTTGGTTTACAGCTGGAATACGGTCTTGGAATACGGTCTTGGAATACAGTCTTGTATTACGGTCTTGGTTTGCGATGAATTCCTGCAAGCAGAAGTAAAATGCAAACTTCATGTTAAAACATGAATATCACCTCGAATAGTCACAAATGATATTTTAATTTAATGGAAATTTGCTGAGGTAAACGGAAAACTTTAAAGCAATAACTGAATTTCAAAGGAGCAGACGCTCATAGTTGAAAAACTAGGCAGCCTCTGCATGACACATCTGGCAGAGATCAAGTATGATTGCCCGCTTTTTAACTTTGCGAGTCCAGACCTAGCCCAAGAGGAAAGCACAGAATGTAAGATAAACCATATCGTTCATAAAAAATAGCCTCGGATTAAAACAGGGAATTATAGAGAAAAAATTCGAGATTATTATTACTTTGCACCTAGTACACTAACCGCTCACTCACGCTAGGGGGCAGCCTTGAAAAATCATTGACACAGATACTTTTGGTGTAATTACCCTTTTACTTAAGATGCTTTTAGCTTTGAAGTGTCTAAACATTATCTATTTTCTATTGTGTTTAAACTGTTTTGTTGTTGAATTGATATTGACTTGTCCCGTAACTCGTTGAAGGAATTGCCATCAGATATTTTCAGTACAAATACATACTTGGAACATCTGTAAGTGTCTTTTTGTGTATTTTTACCCACTCACAGGAAAGTTCATCTCGCAACTTCACCCGGGTAAACGAATGGGTTGATTTCTGAGGGTCTCCCAGGGGGGTCCTTGTTCCCTTGTTCCTTTCCAAAATTGTCCTATGTTCCCGTGTTCCCACACGGTTTCCTTATTTGTTCCNGTTTAACACTTTAAGCGTCTAAAGCAGGACTTACCGTAAAAGACCGTGATCCAAAATGTGGGATTCTGACTCCCACGTGTTGTGTTCGGACCCCCAACCTCGCCACTTGACCAGATAAACAGGCTGCTCATCAGACTACAATAAAAATTCATTTAGAGACAATTTTTGTTGGTATTTTGACGGCTTCTTTTCCAGTTTTATGAAAGTTTGTCATGGCAATCGTTAGATATCCTTACCTTTGTGTTCTTTACAGCCACCAACCGCTCAGCCTTGAAGACACCCTTCAGCGTTTTCCTTTTCTTCTTTTTTGGCCTTACATCCAGAACATCCGCCATCGACAGTTTATTTAGGTCAGCATAACAGTTTATGCTGCGTTTATCTCGTGCCATTTTTCAGGTGTCACTTGATATACTTGAGCTTGCAACTCACTCGAAACTGGAATATTACGCAAACCACCTTGTCCTCTCGCGCGAAGACAGTTCACAGCCACTGGCGACAAGCGAACCAATCGGGTAAAAGGAATGCGAGACGTCACTTGACTACCCCACTCCCGCACGGGAAATTTTTGGCTGACCGCGCGGGAATAGGAATTCTACGCGACGTGTAAGATAAACCATATCTGTTCTCATACTTTATCAAGAGTACCTGCAGACCGTCCTGGAAACTTCACCATCTTCAACTGTAGGATGAGCACCTTTTGGCCATCCTGACCAGTTTGTCCCACAGTGGTATGGTTCCACACGTGTTACTGGCATTTTTGTTCCAGCATCACTCATAAAACGATACCATTCCCCAGGGTTATTCTCAGGGAGTTGGTCATCACAAGACGCTAGACCGTTAGTCTGTTTTTCGTTTCTCGTGGCGTCACTCAGGGTTTTGTAATTTTTGCAAGGATCGGCTACAAAGTGAAATGATATTTATAACAGGATTATAGTCGTTAGAATTAGTGATTGGAGATATTTTCTAACGAACAATAGTTACTATGGTGAGGGGTCAAGCGGTACTAGCAGCAGGACCTTGCTACAAATTTCAATTTACATCATCGAGTGGTCACATTTGTTTAATAGACTTACGTGCTTTGTATTCTATTTTTTTTCTCTTTTTCTTGTCACATTTGCGAAATTGCTACGCCATTAAATAGCTCTGCGGTTCAAGGCCAAACTTTCTTTGATGCCGTTTTATACTTCATAGAGAAATATAGCGTTGCATCATCTTGGTTATGTTAAACATTTCACCACTAGTCTGGAAAGAATGTCACTATAATAAGTGAATAAACGTAAGTAAACAAGTGCATCGCCAAAGGATGATAACATAACCAAAGTAAAGCGCGCTCTGATTGGTCAACTCACTGTCTACCATTGGCACATGGGTGTAAGCTGCTGACGTGAGCAAATGCAACGTTTTCTGCGCGCTTGTTTTTTCTGGTCACGTAAAATTTGTGAATTAAAAGGAACTACAAGGTACCAATGTTACGTTATAAAACAAATTACCATTTGTTAATTGCTGGAATACTCACGAAGGGAGGTTTTTTTAATCGCAATTTGGATGAAATGCACACGATGAGGTAGCTGGTATGAGCAACCTGAGCAGCAATCGAATCCATTCAACACTGACCCTAAAAAGTCGAAGAGGACATGAAAGAAACCAAACCTACCTTAAATTTTACAATTCAAACCATCTCCAAGGTATCCAGGACTACAAGTGCAGATGTACGGGCCCATGGCGTTCTGATGGCAGGCGTTAGTTTTGTACTCATCAATGTCTGGAAGAGAAAATACATACACATTGTTTAACAACTCCATGAAATTACCACGCCTTTCAACAATAAAGCGTTAATTATAACTCAGAACTATGGCCTGAAAGATCCATAACATGATTGAAGCCATCTTAAAGAAATCATCAGTGACCTCATTTTTTTCTGTGTCGGATTTAAACTTTACTTTACTAATTATTCATTTAGAACTTTTTGAATGTCAAAGGCGAGCTATCAAGTTCACCAAAGCAGTTTTTTCTATTTCCGGTATATCTAGGGAGGCATTCACATACATGTGATCCAATGGTGTTTGTGCAGTTCGCATTCTCGTGACAAGAGTGCTTTCTTTTACACTCGTCAACATCTAAGAAATTACAATTACAATTTATCACTTATAGAGCGCTATTTACAATGACAGATCAACAGCGCTTTACAATCAATCCTAACCCGCCCATCCCACCCCAGGGGAGGACATCCATCACACAGTAATCTCGTGCGTGGGAAATTAACGTCTCCTACCCCTAACCCTGTAGGAGACGGGACCTCCATTTATTCGTCCCTATCCGAGAAGACTAGAATATCTAACCATTTCTTGATGTTATAGAAAGGAAGCATATTCTTCTCAATTATTTTAAGACCTTGAGTGTTGGTCCGGCCGGGGCTCGAACCCTCGACCTCCCGCACAACAGTCCAGCGCTCTATCCATTGAGCTAACCGGGAGGCGGTTATCAAACTATCAACCAAAATGCGAAATGCAAGATTGATAAAAAGGCGAAGCAAGTTATCTAAGTGAAAAAACCACCCTATTAATAACTTTTACATGGCTAGGTACTTTTAATTGCCAACTTTGTTATAACTATTAAATCAGAGCTATCTACGGTATCAAAACAACCTTACAGAGAAATTAAACAGACCCTAGAAAAAATCGTTTCATTAGTCATGAAGTATCTATATTTTTTACTTTGCCTGTACAATTCTTTCCATCTCCAGTATATCCAGGTTTGCATGCGCAAACATATGATCCGTGTGTGTTATTACAAGTACCGTTTAAATGACATTTGCTAGAGGTTGTTTCGCATTCATCAAAATCTGTCAAAAAGAAAGAAATGAAATACAGAAAATGTATGAAAGCGTTCCCTGCAGTAATGAACCCTACTTATAGTAGTGGAAAAAAGGCCTGAAAAAAATTTCAGGCCCGTTCGGGATTTGAACCCATGAATCCATAAACCCATGACCAACATAATGACCAGTTCCCAGTTGGCTTGTTAGCTCAGTTGGTAGAGCACTGCACCGGTATCGCACAGGCCATGTTAATATAAATATCCCGTCCTAAACTCATATATTGACTACAATGGTATTTCTTGCATATACAGAGATCACTCTTCTTTGCTCTAATGCGTTCAGTTTTCCAAGCGCTGTAATCCCTTTCTTACAGTTTCAGGCATTTGGGCTGTGAGGTAAAACTGTAAAACCTTTTTCTGAATTTCCCCAAAAAAACATCGATTCTGGAACTGAAACAAATCACGTAATTTGCACTAATATTCTAATTGTTAGATATGTAAAGATATCTACGAGGCGGTTGCTACTATTGCAATTTTCACGTTTTCTATTTTCAACAACAAAACTTTCAGAAATGTACAACTTTTTTAAAGACATGTTTCGGCAAGCATATGCCATCTTCAGTCAATGAGTAACTGAGTGTGAACAATTATATAGTAGACAAGTAGATGAATAAATTATTTACAATATGATGTAATACAAAAGCTCTAGTTTTACTCGATATGTCAAAGGCCTTCGACAGCATTAGACATGATATTCTACTGCAGAAACTACGGGCTCTTGGTAGATAGGAAAACAATACTTCTCCTTATGAATTCTTTCGTTTTTAGTAAGTTATATTATTGCTCAACATAACATTAACAAACTTCAGTTAGTACAGAATTTTGCTGCCTGTGTTGTTCTTCGCCTTAAAAAATTCGATCACATTTCACAAGCTATCAAATCGCTAAATTGGCTGTCTGTTAGTGACAGAATTTACTGGAACGATGCAGTGATGATGTACAAATGTATTAATAAACTTGTGCCCGACGACCTAATCGAGAAATTTACTACGCGTTCACAGTCACACTAGAAACACTAGACAACGCGATCAACTGAACGTTCCAAGGTGCCGCCCAACCACTGGTCAGCGGTCCTTCGTCTACCGCGGTGCAAAGCTCTGGAATAATCTAAGAGACAATGTTAAATCTTCAGAATCGATCAAACTTTTTAGGAACAAAATTGTTAACCTACTTTTCTCTGGTCAATCTATGAATTTGTAATTAGTATATGATCCATTGTATTTCACTTATTTTTAATGTTATTTATTATATTAGTTATTTGGTAATTTATTTAGTTATTTTAGCTATTTAGTAGCCTTGTGACTGAAAAGCCCTTTTTAGGGAGTTACAATAAAGTATGTATGTATGTATGTATGTATGTATGTATACCATGCACATGCGGCAAAGTTTACACCGGGGAAAAAGGACGATGTAAAAATGTATAAAATTTTTAAAAAATTGGATTACAGCGATGAACCGTATCAGTCCAAGGTAAATTCCTCCTCGCCTAGATCTTCTTTTGAAAGTGTGACAAAATTTTGGTCAGAATATTTTCTCCACAGTAAGCTTTTGATGTGGAAATGGAACCTTTTCAGTGCAGTTTAGCCCACTGTAAGATGTTCCAAATAACAAAGAAGCCAGAGGATGTATCGCCAGAGCATTTTGGATCGCCGAAGTACTTGCGAAGAGAGGTTTAGTTATCGGAATTTGGATTCAATTGACACGACTAAGCAACGCAATGGCTGATAATGACCACCTGAGTGGCTCAGGTGGCCAACGGTTCTATCCATTACCTACAAGTGGGTTGTGCGAGCCCTGGGTATATGTGCAAGTGGCTTGCCGATGGCAGGCGTTACTTTTGCACTCTTCAATGTCTGGAAAAGAAAATACATAATTAACACCGACAGAATACGGAAATTGAATGCACGATGTAACGGTGCCTGTCATCACGAGATGAAGGTTCACTGCTGCGAAAAGATGATGGGGTTTTTTTGACATCCATAATTACAATCAAAAGAGCAGAATCGTCCCTTCAATAAATCTCATACGTAAACGAAAATGAGTCGCGATGAAAAAGAAAAACAAAGCAAAAGAATCCGTCCAGCGACATATCTCTAGTAGCTTAAGTCGAACATTAGATGCCAAGTGTTTGGCAAAGTAAAAATTGGTAAACCGCTTGAAACGCGGGTACACGCGCTATTGATAATAAAAGCGTGCGTGTTTTCTGGACATTCAAGCAAAACCAGTGTAGTCCCAAAGTTCCTACGACGGTTAATTGAAAATAGCTGTGTACAATACATGAATGATAAAGATGCTAAAGTGTGTCGTTTGAACGACCCTCACATCCGTAGAGCTCCATTCTCAACGAGATGTGGTTGTGCCAATCGGTGGGGAGAAGTCTCACGTAACGCGCCTTAATGAATGGATAGAGCTGCTGGAATACAACAGCGTTACCGTCTTGGTTTGCAATGAATTCCTGCAAACAGAATCAGAATGCAAACCTCATGTTAAAACATCATTTTATCTCGAAAATTCATAAATGATATTTCCATTTAATGGAGATTTGCTAAGGTAGACGGAAAAATTTGAAGCATAACTGGGTTTTACTCGTGGCTCTATACATTATCAACGAAGAAAATGGTTAGAGTTGACAAACTAGGTAGCTTCCTCAACTAAGAAAGAGCTGCCATTATACTTCAGGACATATCTGGCAGAGATCAAATATCATTGCCCTCTTTTTAATTTTACAAGTCCAGACCTAGCCGAAGAGGAGAGCACAGAATGTAAGATAAACGATATACGTTCTTATAATTTATTTAGAGTACCTTTGGAGAGTTTTGGCTTGCAGATGTTTGATAAAAGCTAAAAGTTCACTCCATCATCGCTGTACTGCACTTTGTATTTTTTCACTCATTGGTTGTAGGCATTCCATCCTTGAGTGGCTATCTGTGTTACTGTTGTTTTATTGAGAAGATCAACCTGAATCCACTGATCCACCTTATTGTACTTAGCTGACCAGCTTTCTACTTTTCCTGGAACGGCAAAAAAGTTTAGCCTTCCCTGGATTGCCGCACAGTTTGCATCCCATTCTGAAGAGGCTGAGATCTGAGCATCCTTTACGAGTTTCAATTGGTTATCCATACCAAGTGGTGCTGAGCACGCTGTCAGGGGTGGAATAAGTGACTTAATCCTAACACAGCGAATGAATAAATCTGGGATTTTTTTTATTATATTAGCGGGATTTTGTGACGTTAATATTATTCGATAACTTTGCTACCATGAGCCACCTGGAGAATAGTGTAGTATCCGAAGAACTACTCACAGGAAGGTCAAATGTTCGAATTTTGGTTAGAGTAACTGAAATTTGCTCTCTCCGTGTATTCCTGTAAAAACCTAAGATATTTCTTGTTTGAACCTGTTTAGTTGCAATTGAGGAGAGGCGATTAAAGCGAGATTTGTCACAATTCTAAACCAATCAGAGCGAGAGAATCTCTGTCACCACCCGAACCTCCCTTAAGCAAAGACTGTGCGACTTAAACTTTTTTCATTCTGCCTGAAAAAGGCATACGCTCGGCAAAAACACTCGAGGTGAGAAAAACAGACAAAAAAACAAAGCAAGCAAATAAGCGAACAAACAAGACTTATAAGAACTCAACAAACAAACAGACAAAGCTACAAAAACAGCCGCGGTCTTTATATTTGAAAGGTACGACAAACTAGAGGAGCAAATTAATATTGTTGTCATTTAACGCATTGTTTGAGACTTACCAGATTCACAATGTTCTCCCTCGTATCCAGGAGGGCACAAGCAACGATATCCTTTGAACGTGAAACCAGACTGACATGTTCCCTTATTTTGGCACAGTGAATTCTTACTACAGGCGTTCTGAAGGAGAAGAAAGAGATATTAAAATAACTAAAGAAAGATCGTTAGATTGATGAAAAAAACCAATTTAAGACCCTCTGATGGAATACGATAATTTTTCAAGAAGTTAGTTCTTATCTTAGACATTCTCCTTTAGGCTAAAAGCTCGTAGATTATGATTTAAACTCACCTTCGATCCCTGATAGTAAAAAACAGCATCAGTTATCAGGTCACTGTCATATTCCAGATGTGTGGCGTTGTTTAGTTCACAGATGTGACCTGGTTCATTGTTCTCTGGATCTTTCTTGAAGTTCAGACTGACACAGTTGTCGTTCAGGTAACACAAAAGCTCACAATCATCCAAGTTCGTTTATTTTCATGGTGTGATTTACGAATTGTCTTTCAGTGAAAAAGTAATAATCTGGAAACAGCATTGTGCGATCTCCATCTAAAACAAATAAACCAAATTAAAGGTGACAACAAAACCTCTTCTTTTCTGTCGCTCGTGAGATAAAATTTTTTGTGAGATAATCAAACTAGCGATTTATCTATTTCTTCAGGACATTTTTTGCCTTTACCATTGCTACTGTATATATATATATATATTTTTTTTTGTTTATTTATTTTTAATTTTTTTCTGTATTTTATGGCTGCCTCCAGACAAAGGAATAACTTCACGTCGACAAATATTTTCGTTCTCTCATATCACATTTCCGTTGTTAAAGAATTTGGATGGGAACATCAGATATAAAAAAAAATGGAAAATCAAAATACATTTTGTGAACTGATGCTCAGAGTAACATTGTAATTGGATTAAAGTCAGGAGAGGTAAAAATCTGCAAATTGCACGAGGCATCTGCAAAACTGTTTTAAAAAAGGGTTTTTTTCATTTTTTTATTTGATTTTGCATTTGTGGAGACCTTTTCTTCAATCCTACTGAATAGCTGAATTCAAGATTCGGGAAAGACAGATGTATTTTATCAAAAACACGTAAAAGACGAAAAAATTAATCTACTCCATGTAACTCACTGTTCCTGTATAAATAGGTTTTCTGAGATGTCTAAGGACGTTAAAATGTGCCGCCTTATGATGCAAATCACCCTCATCAAATGCCAGGGAAGTCATCAATGCAGTCCAGAATGCAAATGTGAGAAACGCCGAAGATCCTTAAAAGCAGTAGACAGCAACAGTAATGTTATAAGTATACCACAAAGTTTGAGTTGACCACCAGCATTTAGCAATGGATTAAACTATGCGAACCGACTTCTTTTAATAAAAGATATTAAGCGTAATATAGCAGCAGCTGTCAGCTCAAACTCAATAAGTTGTCGATTCAATAACATG